AGTGAGGCTTCGCAGTTCGGGCTGGAGGTAGTCCGGGTCAGATCATTGAGGCTCACCCAGGCTGGTTATTCATTTCTGTTTTGTTTGTAGGTTTTGTCATTACTTTCGACATCAAATTATAAGTCGATGCTGCAGTTGCATTGCATCAGGCCTCGGAGATGTTGGTCGTCAACTCCTACGAGAAGCCACAAGGAGCTCGACCTAAGGGAGTAGATCAACTAACTGTAGGTTGCCAACTCGCGTGGGAGCCTTGAAAGGCTCGACCAGCAAGGGTGTCCGCACAGTCTGTATGCCGCTAACTCTCACGGGAGCCGCAAAGGATTCAACCTGTAGAGGAGACCTCGCAAAGAAGGCTAATGAGGCTCGTTTGGGCTGAAATGAGATTGACAGAGTTGCTTAATCGATTAGCCATCAACTCTTGTGGGAACCATGAACGGCTCGACCTGTAGGGGTGGCCTTACTCCGATGTGCTTGTTGCCAGACTGTTGGTTATTGAGGTCATTCTGCTGCTAATTGTTTTGTGGTGGCACAAATGCACCGAACTTCTCCCATGCTTGCATCTGATTGTTATGGGGGGGGGGGGGTTCTCAAGGTTCACCACAGATGTTCTTGCCCCCTAGTAATTGATATTCTTTCTGGATGTTGGTGCTACTCAAAAATTCCTTTGAGTTCATAGGAGGTCGCTATGTTTTCTGGATGTTGGAAATTAGAGAGTGAGAACTTAAATTTTTAACAGGTGAGATCCTTAGTTTTCTGGAAGATGAGGACTTAGCATTTTAGAATGTGAGAACTTAGCTTCTTGTAGCGTTTCCTACAGATTGTGTCAATTGATAGTGCGTGATCTAGAAGCTCTGAGCTGGAAGATGACCTGGATTTTAGTTGCGTAGTGAGATGGTTCGAGCTGCAACAAAACAAATCAGAGAACCCGGGGTGGCTAACTCGGCGAGGTCACTCCGATGCTTAAGTCAGTATTGTGGTATCTTGGTTGTGAGTTAAAAGCTTGAGTGTAGAGAGAGATAGTGAGCAAATAATCATGCGTACCTAATGTTATGGGGTTACTGCCCTTATATAGGTATTGTTTGGTGTGGGCCTTACACACCGCACCCGAGATTTCTGGGAGGTCGTGCTTAACCGGCCCGAGATCCTCAGATGTAACCGCCCTGCACGTTGACCATCCTCCGGAATATCCGGTACGTGGGCCAACTTCCAAGAAACATGGGAGTGTCGGGATATGCATGCCGAATTTGTCGGCGAGCACGTCTTGCAGGTCGCCACTTGGACCTCAGTCAAGCAGGCATGCCCTCGAAGGAGGTCGCTACTTGCATCGAGGTCACTTTGGCCAGTTACGAGGTGCTACAGGTCGGCCCTGGACGAGGTGCTTCTAGCCGACCTGAGTTGTGGTCGATGTCGCCAGATTGGCAGTGAAGGTAGGTTGACAAGTCGGGGCGAAGAGAAACCACGATCTGGGACTCCAAGTCATTGCTTAAGTGGTGTCTATGTATCACCCAGCTGTTCCAAGATGCCATGTGTCACGATGTCATTGGAGGAACAAATCCACCCTCGTCAATAGATCCAACTAATAAAAAAGGACTTAGGCAAATGCTAGTTTGTATTTTAGTGGAAGATGGTGAATGCTCAGTTGGATAGATTCATTTTAAATTCCTCCCAAGTTCAAATTGTTCATGTGGCAAGTCATTAGGAGGTTTATTTTTGCTAAAATGGATTTGATTCAATTATTTATCAATGTGGATGCATGATGTTTGTCCTTTTTGTAAGATTGATGTTACATTTGTTTTGTTATTGTCCTTTTATTACGACTGTTCTCTTTGGTAGTCCTTGAAATTTAATAGTCATTTCTCAGTATTCCTCTTTAGTAGACTTTATATTGGAGCTTGTTAATTCTTTGGTCTCTTGGGGAGCCTTTGATGAAGTTTTGGAATGGTTAGCTATTGCTTGGTATTTTGTCGGGAAAGCTTGTAATGATTATATATTTAATAATACTAATAAATCAATCGATTGGATTTTGAATTCAGTTAACAAAATTTTTGGATTAAGGGGCACCGGGTTAAATGGTATAAATTATGATTATGCTACAACTTTTAGTTCGTTGGAAAATAGATTAGGAGGTTTGAGTTAAAGTATTCATATTCAATGTGATGGGGGTGTTGCTAACTCGGGTAGGATTAGTTACGAACTTTGTATTTTTTGATTGCAACAAGAATTTTATTATGGCTGTAGGTGGTATAGAAAGCACATTGAAGCATGGTTTTTAAAATTGGACTGGACAGTCGGACCAGAAAAACCAGGAATCGGTTTTAATTTTCCCCAAAGCTGTTTTTTTCTTTAAAATCATTGATTTTGATCAGTAGACCGCTGAACCGGCCAATTAATCGTTTGAATGGTTTTGATCGTTTTTCAATTTTTTTTTAATTTTTTTATTTTTTTGTCAGAACAGATCGATCGTTCAGGTCTAACGGTCAGATCGTCCAAACCAATAACTGGACCCCTTATCGGTTTGGTCACCAATTTGGTTTTAAAAACCATGCATTGAAGGATCCTGTGGTGGCTGAATTAAGAGCAATTGGGAAGATTTTTCTTCTTTCTAATGCCAAGAATGTTGTGGACTCCCTCAATTCTCATTCCTTTGGTTTAGCTTGGAAGTATAATTTTTGAATAGATCAAAATTTGTGTGCCCAAATGACTTAAGCTCAATTGTGTATACATATATTCCAAGGAATTATAATATGGCTGCTAACACCCTATCATAAAAAGCTAAGTATTTTGATAGAGATTTGTATTTGGTGAGGCAACCCTCCAGTTTGTAATTTCTTTTTAGTGTAGTGTTATTTTATCTATTAAAGAAATACAACCCATCTTGCCAATATAAGCATGAGTGTTGATTTATTTCTCAGTAGGACTACACCTAACTCAATTATTTAAATGGGTTCGACTATGATGCCAAAAGGACAATGCTACTATGAAAAAACTTACAATCAAGAACCAATGAGTGGATTTTCACCAAAACTCATGAGGTTGTGATTGGTCAAAACCTTTTAGGTATCTTGTCTTTCCAGCATTATAGATTTTCCCATTTAAATTATTTAATGTTGTGTTTGGTTTGTGGGAAGATTTTGGTGGAATGGGAAAGGGAAAATGGGTGGAAATTTTTAATGTTTCATTGTTTGGTTGCAAAAGGGAAAATAGTAGGAAAATCAACCCCAGTAACTATTATTAATTAATTAATTCATATTTTTATTATTTTATATTTTACTATTATTAGTTATTAAAATTTTAATCAAATAATTTATATTTATTTAATTAATAATGACAATTATGTAATTAATTATTATTTAAGAATTAATAATTAACAATTTTTATTTTATTTCACTCATATTTAATATGAATTAATTAATAATTTTATTATTAATAATTATTTTAATTATTTAATTATTTTTATTGAATCATTAATTACATTAATAATAAAATCCTTATTTATTCATTAATTACTTGGTAAATTAACAGATAACTATTTTTGTTAATTATTAATTAGTTAATAATACTTTTTTACTTTTTAGTATTTTATTATTAATTAGATATTAATTGTTTAAACTCCATAATTAGTTAATTAATTAATGTTTTACCTTTTATTAGTTTTTATAAGTTATTATTAAAATTATATTTATTAATACCCATGACTTAATTAATAATTTTAATATTTAATGTTAATTATTCATAAATTATTAAATTACTTTTCATTGATAAATTATTTCTTTTAATTAAATTATTAATTATTTAATCAGTAAATTAATTAGTTATTAAATATTTTACTGTTAATTCTTATTAAATTAATAATATTTGTATGATTTAGTATTTTGTTGTTAATTATTAATTTGTTATGAATTGCTTAATTATTTATATCATTAATTAATATTTTAGTTTTATTAGTTTATATTGTGTTATTAATATTTTATGTTGTTAATACTTATTATTTAATTAATAATTATAATATTTATTCTGAAAATGATTAATTATTAAATTTTTATTGATTAATATTTTCATTAATTATTTATTTTAAGTTGCTTGTTAATTGTTTTAATTAAATTATTTTAATAATTAATAATTTATTTATGGGTCATGGTTCTAGTATTAACTCTTTCAAATACTACAAGAAAGGTGTTTTTTAGTTAAATCTCTCCCTACATTTCCACTTGTTTTCCACCAAAATGGTGTGACTCCCCATCCAAAGAATTATAATATATAATCCCACCTTTTTTTTCATGATATCCCATAAGCCAAACATGAAAAGGGAGAAATATTGCAAAATGATCAATATATTCCCTTTCCATCCCACAAATCAAATAGAGCAGAATTCGGATTTGCTCTCACAGAACATGTTTTACACTGACCTCACAACCACATCCCACCGTGTATTGAAAACATCTCCCCATGAATAAACACAAATAAGGAAATGTTCCCCAGGACATGCTGTGACTCTTAAGTTCTGATCTCGTAGATTGCAAAGAAACATACTGAAAAGGAAGAGCCAAGTCACCCAACTCATTTCCAAATGCAAAATTTCTGGAAACGCCAAATGAGGCTTAAACGCTAAGGCCATGGAAAATGAGAGCATAACCAAACTTCGTTTGAGAAATCAGAACCGTTGACCTTTTTACTTGATTAGTTGGAACCGATGACCTTAGATTAACAACGCTAAGATGTTCCTCCAATTTTCAAGAGAATACATTACTTTTTGTTAATTGCATGTCACCAAACAATTTTTATTCATTGCAATTTTTTCTTGCAAGTCTTAAATATTGTACTATATCTTTCGTTGGTATCAATGTATTTCCAAAACATATCCATATCTGATTTATCCGATATGATATCCAATACCGATAGTTTGATCCTTGGTTGTACCCACCTTAGACCCAAATTTAAGAAAGATAAAATCCAGAACTTTTGATATGTTGTATGGTCACTCATTTAGAAACACCAGAAGAGAAATGGTAATATCATTCCCTTGCGCCCATGCAATAAACAGAAATAAAATACAGATATCAAAACCATCTCTGATAGATCTAGATATTTGAATCCTTCCTGCAAATACAAAATTTACGAGTAATTACTTACTGTTTTTTCCAACTTACATTATTGGAGAATCAATAAATTTAAGAGTAATTACTGTATTTTAACTGCCACTCCCGAGAGGCGGAGCCATTCACAGAAAGGTTGGGTGTCCTCAAGCCTCGAGGTAGAGATCCTTGAGCTTTGCCAGAGTGCATATAGTGACGTTTATGTATGGAAATGTCTCAAAATACTAATAGAACAAACAGACAACAAGAAAAATGAGACATTTCATCTGGACATGACGCAACAGCATGCTCCCCCTCCCCTCATTTATGACGTTACCAGTTGCCTCATTTTAACCAATAAGTTCAGTCATAGGGGTTTCTGAAGTTCTTGAGGAGTTCTGGGATATCATAACCTAGCATATCATCAACGGCTTGTATCATTTTAGGTTTCAACCTCTCGAACTTATCAATGCTATAACCACTCAAGATCTCTCTGAAGTGATCAACATTTGGGAAATCGCCAGCTGGGAGATGGAACTCCCTTTGGACCTGTTTCAACAAGAGGGTAGAAATGAATGACCATTCAATTGCAATAAGCATTAAATGCATCAAGCACAATTGCAACAAGAATGCAAGCATATGTATATGCTTATGTGTGAATGCATATCAGAGAGAGAGAGAGAGACCTTTGCAAATTCGTCTTCTAGGTTATCAATAAGTCTCTGTTGAGCCTTGGCTTTTCCCATCATTGCAGGCATCTCCTTCTTAAGATGGCTTATTACATAGGCATGAATCTTTGCAGCTCTCGCACGTTTTACAAATTCATTTATCTGTGAGAATGGCATTCTTTAACCACACTATAGATGGGAGGTACCAAGAGAAAAACAGATAATAAGTTGAGGCTGTGTTTGGCATAGCTTATCATGGTTTATCTCCATATGGATGAGGAGATTTTGCATCTTATGGATAAGGTAGGCTCAGATGGAAAACAAGTGTCCTGCTGGTTGGACAGGTGACCAGGTTCTTAATACGGGTTACGAGCTGATTGGTTTTGTATTGTTTTGTTTTTTTGAAATTCTTTAACATCACAGGTCAACCTGTTGACCAAGAGGGAAAACCGGTTCAAAAAAAGGTAAAAAACTACTTGTCATCTTTGTTGTTGACCATGAAAAGTTTGAATTTGTTGTGTCTAAGGGGTTTGAACTAGGGGTGATCATTTCCAGCCAGGCCCGGGCCCAGGCCTGCATATATATTTTATACATAATTTGTACATATGTTCATCTGTTGTTTTATGCTATATTGTATATTTTATATATAAATATTATATTTTGACACTTGAAATTCATATTTATATAAAATAAATTTTGCAAGCATATTATATATTAATATATATAGTATAAAATATTGTGTATATGTAGTATTTTATACATAAAAGACAAAGGCCCAGAATCAGGCCTGGCCCAGCCCATGATCACCCCTATTTTGAACTTGGATAATGCACTCCATTTTTATTTTTTTGGTTTTTTTTCATGCAAGGCCTACCCCCTGAAAATATTAAAATTTCAAAAAACTTAAAATTTCATGTGTCGGGGCAGAGCCAATACCATATACCCAGATATGTGACAAAATTTTGAATTTCATTAAAGTTTCAAACTTTTAATTTCATTAAAGTTTCAAAAGAAGCTTTGATGGGACAAGAAAAAGGAGTTGAGATCTCCTTTTAATTTACCCAGTCAAAACAGCTTTTACTGACCCATCTGGATAATAGCTTTACTTCAACAAATGGCATCATTTGGACTTTTCTCCCTTTTTACCGGAAAAAGCAGAAAAGGCCTTATTTTCCACAAAGCCAAACACAGCCTTCCATTGTGAAAATGAAACTATGACAGAAAAGCAAAAGAGTAGTGAATATACTCTGCGATCACAAGCCTTCTTTGGAATATCTTTCAAATCAGAAAGAAGATCATCTTGTTCTTTCTCAAAAAGCTCCTTTCCAATTGGACCAACAGCTGCTTCATTCACTGGTTTGTCATTGAATGAACTGTCAAAAATCAGGAAACATATTAACTATAATGAAATCGATAGAATTCAGGTTTTGGTGAACCAAAATGCACAATATTTGAACAAATCATAAATTCCAATATCACAACCAAATTGAAGTGGGTTTAGAATAAGCAAATCATAGCCTAGCAATTGAGACCAACCAAACATATTTACATCTGATTAAGAACTCTAGCATTATCTACCACGAGCAAATGATTGACTTGTAGAAACTAGATTTGCATAAAATCCAGAGTACAGACATGCATCAGATCAAGTCTACGCAGATTCCTCCCAAATTTTACATGTATTTCAGCTCATGCAAAAACTAAATTACATCCATATTTCTTAAAGAACACAAAATTTCTAAATGGTAACAAATTCCTAGTTCTAGGAATGTATTATGCCTTTATCCTGTTAGTGGACAAGTTTGGAATTAGGAATGGACATAAGGCCACCATATCCTAATAAGAAAAAAGGCACGCAACAAGGCCCTTGGGGAATCTGAAAATAGAAAGAGGGGGAGAGAGAGAGAGAGAGGAAATGAAATGAAGAAAAACACTATTGCCTAAAAGAGAAAACAAGGGCCCAAACATCTTTCCAAAGAAAGATTATCATCTTAAAAGAAAGACTCGTAGAAACAAGGTAGCATTTGGCTACTCCCCAGTTTTGTACCATTATTGATGACATATCAGCAACTTGTGAGACAAGACAGACCATGTCTAGTTTTCAGAAACAAGAGTATTTTTTAAAAGAGACTACCTATATTTACAGTTCTAGAACCAAATTATCAGTTAGTGAACAAGTTCTGCTCCTTTACTTGTTTTAAAAAAAAATAACATGAAAACTAAACAAACCATGTACAAAACAACTCCATTAGTTTGTAGCGAATTAACAGCATGAAAGATAGAGACCATACCCAATATAAACACGCATAACCTCAGGAGTATTTAGAACTTTTCCAAGTGACCACATCAGTGCCCCATAAACTCTCATCAACTACAATGGACCACCAATAAGCATGTTAAAAATGTGAAGACCAATTGCACAGATAATAAATAAAACTGCCAACTTTTCTCACTTGTTGTGTATCAACTTGGTCAGCCTTGTTAAGAACCACACGTATTTTGTCATCGTGACCACGCAAGGATCCAATTACACGCTTGAATTCATCACTTATATCAAGCTTGTGAGGATCAAACAGAAGAAGAATGAGGTCACATTTTGCTGCAAACCATGAGGTGACACCTGTAAAATCATAGCTCCGCTGTGTTCTTTGCTTTTCTCCAGATAAAACTCCAGGTGTGTCCACAAACGTTATATGCTCTAGAAGCTTTGCATACATAAATAGTCAAGTTACAATAATACAAGAATAAACCAAAAGTGCATTATGACAAGTCTACAATGACAACTCACTGGATGTGGCATCTGGGAACACTGAAATTTTGACAAGAATGCAGTTCCAAAACTCGTCAAACCACTAAATGGCATATCTGCCTGAACAGCAATAGTGTTCCCTGGAATACTCCTTTCATCAGGCCCCGACTGTATAATAAAATTCCAATAAGTTAGAAAATAACTTATGAACAATTTGTCCAAAATGCCTAAGAGATAATTTCGGGACATCAGCAACGCTGGAAATAAGAAATTAAGAATACATTTGAAAATTAGGGAAAACCAAAGATTAGAACGTACGAGTACCAATCTGTTGTTTTAGGCGGTGTTTGGAACCGTGGGCGTTTTTTCAATAAATGCTGCTACATAGGCGCCACTTCAGCATTACACCCATCACGCTGATCCGTACACATAGACTTGCAAAAGCTGGCCTTGATTTATGTGTGTGCATACCGTTGGGGGAAGCTTTATTTTAGCGCTTCCCCCAACAGGTAGGCGTTTATTCACTGTTTCGATGATGTGGTGCCTAGTGGCACCTAATTGTCAATTAACGGTTTCATTATTGCTTTTCTCAGTTTTGCAAACAAATCAAGTACAAACGTTTAGTGAATAAACGGAAGCTATACCAAACACATACTTATTCACGGCGTTTGAACATACTTTCTTTAGCTATTCAGACAGCAACAGGTTATCCCCAAAATTTCCTTTGCTTGCATTCTTCTTGGCCTTTAAATGGTTTCAGCAAGCAACGAAGAATTCTATGGAACCTGCTGTCCTTTGCTATTTGTTAGCCAATAAGGACACAACAAAATAGAAGAATTTTTTATGGGAAACACACCACAAATGGGGCTGTTATTGGGAAAGTCAAAAGAACTATTGTTGAATGGGTGGGCATCTCAAGGAATTTGATGGTATCAAGCTGGAGAATTTTAATATGCAGCAGACTATTTTTGACTTTTCTTTTGCCACAAGAAGAGGGGTTTTTTATGAGTTTCCTTGGTCATGAATGATATCCATTTTGTCCCCATGTACATGTTTCTAGCTTGAGGAAATTTCACCCTCTAATCCTCTATTAACAATACAAATTACCATTTATAGAAAAAAATGCGTGCACCATGTATTAAAAATTTGAGAATAATTTGTCTTTGTTAATTAAAAACTACACATTTCTGTTGTAAGGCTTATTTAATTGTTACTTTATAGCTGCTGTTAGTAGGCTGACTTCTTAGGATACTGTCAGTTAGTTACTTGTCTTTTTCTTATTATTTTTGGTTCTAGGGTGTGCCGCCAGGGGCATACTTGTAATTTCTATTCCTTTATTAAGTTAATATAAATAGAAGACTGGCGGCAGCCAGTACCATCTTTTTTCCCTCAATCGTACCTCTCTTTTTCTTCTCTCTCTCTCTCTCCATAAATCATTACAATTTCCACAATAGACTAGAAAACAAATGAATTCCTAATATTTATTAATTTTTCATGAATTGACAACTAGGTTTGCAACAAGCAATATTCAAGTGCAAATCAAATAGAACATACAAGTGTCCAAAATAGACTGGAAAATAATCCAAATCTTTATATTTATTATTTTTTCAAAAATGAAAACAAGTTTGCTTTTTTGTAACAAGGGATGTTTAACCATCTAACCAGATCAGGGAAATGGTGATACTGGCCTACAATTGCCATAAAAAATCCCTATTCAGCTAGCAAGTAAAATAACAGTGAAAGAAAAACTCAACAAAAACCCGAGATCTACAATTTGAAGAATTTTTCTTCCTTTTTGAAGAACCATTTAATAATTAATATATATGTGACCCTTCAGAGAAAAATAATCAAGTAATAAAGTACCCACATGCAGGGAGGTTGGTCCTAAAATACAAAAACAACCAATTAACCAAAATCAGAGATAAAATGTAGAATGACTTTGTCTATTTATGGAATCTTTCACATGATAGAAAAAAAAAAAAACAAGAATGCAAAGGAAGAACAATTTTTATAGTGCCAACACACTTACATGAGATAAGGTAGATGATGAAGTTAAATATTTCACTTTTGTTCTTTGCATTGTTCCTCTCTATTCTCAGCAAGCTTATTGCTACATAGTAACTCATTTTTGTGCAAGTTATTCTGGGAAGAAAAAAATTTATTTCTTTCTTGCTTTCCCTCTCCCACCAACTCTTGAACCTTTGACCTCTTGTAGACACACACATTAGTCATCAACGAGGTTACAAAGGGGTTGATGATTTACTTCTTTCTTATAATTATGCATAAGTTTTTGTTCATTATCTTAAACAACCTGGTAGAATTTACCTGTACTGTCTTCAAGTAAAAATTCATAATTTTTTCTTCAAATGGTATATAGAAACAAAAAAAAAAATCCGGATAAATTTCAAAAGAAAATCATCAAAATTTTTATTACAAAGAATGGAAACGAACAACAGACATCAATAGAAAGCGTATGCAAATGATCATAAACAATGGATATCGAGAGCTTATTCATTTAAACTGAGAAGGTTCATAACAAAGAAACAGGGTTGAGATACCATAACAACAACAAATCTGTCAGTTGTGGGCTCTGGTCCAATGTGAGCACCTGGAAAAGATGCAGGAAACCATGAGGAAGATCGCATGATCTGTTTATCCAATTGCATGCAATAGGAAATGAAAGAATCAGGCAAGGAAAAAATAAGCTAATATATAAAGAAAATGGTTTTGAATTACCTGGATAACTGCTTCTGAGCAAATGTTTTATGAATGTTGTTTTTCCAGTAGAATACTGACCCAAAAGCATCACCATAGGTCTTGCATCAAAATCACTACTTATCTGCAAGTTGAACAGATCAAAATCACAATGATATAGGTGATCCAAAATCTAACCGTTCTCAACAGAAATTCATGATATTCAGAGCAAAAGATCGGAAGGATACAAATTTGGATGTGTTTCAAGAATAAAGTAATAAAAAAACAACATACAGAGTCCACTCACCAGTAAGGGAGATACAAAATCATTAAAGCGATATGTGACCTCCAAAGGCTTTAGCTTTTCAATGTATAGTTTCTTCAAGCCATCAATTATTGAGGTAACTGAGCTTAAAGGTATCTAGACATGCAAGGAAACAAGAAGTAAATAAAGATCCAACTACAAACCCTAGACATGGATATCTCTAACTAAAACAATCAAACTACAAGATATGAAATTATGAATAGAGAGGAAAATGACTCATCATCATAAAACATAAATAGAAAGGGAATGCAAGAAAATTCCTAAGGAATTCAATTAGAAAAATAAAAATAAACCACCAATGCATAAGAATATCAATAGCCTATTGCCACTGAACATATAACTGACAGGAAAATAAAGAAAAAAGTTTGCATGGAAATGGATAAGGTCAATTAACCATTATCCAGTCAAATTCCCAACTTAGATAGACTGTGCAAAAAAAAATGTTTGACACAAATGCACAAATTAAGAGGTGATTATGCCCTAGTGTATCTTCTTGGCATTATAGGTGCAAACCCTGAAATATGAGCCTGGCCCGGGCCTGAAATATACGGCAAGCATACTGCCCAGACCTGTTTTTACGGTGACTCCATAAGTCTTCAGAATAAGGAAGAAAAATATGGCAAGTGTCATTAGCCATTATCTGGTTGAGAATAAACATAAAAATAGAACCACCAAATTATCTCATGCATAGGTGCAAGCACTGAAATGTTTGATACAAATGCACAAATTAAGAGGTGATTATGTCCTAGTGTATCTTCTTGGCATCATAGGTGCAAGCCCTGAAATATGAAGCTGGTCCAGGCCTGAAATATATGACAAGCCTACTCCCCAGGCCTGTTTTTACTGTGATTCCAGAAGTCTTCAGAATAAGGAAGAAAGATATGACAAGCCTCATTAGTCATGATGTGGTTGAGAATAAACATAAAAATAGAACCACCAAATTATCTCATGCATGACCATACTTCAACTACCTATCTGTATTGACCATTTTTGTTTACAGATAATCATTTTTTTAGGTTTTCAATGCAAGCAATAATGGCTTCAAGCAAGCATCATTTAAGAAAAATCCTAAAATTTTACTGCAGGTACAACAGCTCCTTGTTTCTGATGGGACAAAACAAATCAAGAACATATGTGGAAAACTGATTATATGAGTAGAACTCATTGGCAAATACAATGTAAAAAGGCCAGGCAGGAAAAACAAAGTGAGACTATTGTCAATTGTCAAATAGAGAATTCTACTAAGGAATCTACAACAGAACACACACACACACACACACACAGATATAAGTGGAAGAAACTGTACTTAGAAGAAAGCTAATGACAGAAAGGGAAAAATATCAAAGTCTTGGATATATTGAAACCCGTATACTAACAGATAGAACAATTCCTAGCCATGCCGAAAGAAAGACATAATGAAGCTGTCACCTTCTTTGAAGATTTTGAAGAAAACCAATGAGCTGATGGTGATGATTGGGGCTGGATAGTTACTGCATAGAACCATTGATAACAGTTAGGAATTTTTAAAGGAACCAATGAAACAAGTAGGTGTTAATATAAGAGATAAAAGTTTTTTACCATTATCAAGCTCAGGTTTTTGGGGTGAGCGCTTTCTTTTCTGAGAAGCCAGTAAACAAAAAAGTGAAAAGACTCGAGCAACACTTAGATTGCCATACTATGACAAAAAAACAAAACAAATGAAATACTTACAGCTATTAAAACATCCAAACCTTCCATTACAGGAGGATTTAAATTCTCCGAATTAACTACAATGGAAGAAGTATGCATAAAATCAGAGTCAAATAACTGGATCATTATCATCCATGTCTTATCCCAACTATATGAGGTCGGCTAGTCAAATAACTGGATAGGATGGCTAAATATGAGTAAAAAAATTAGATAGACATGCAAATCAATAATTAATCATATCCTTATACTAGTTGCTAATTTAAGTGCTCATAATTTAACAATGATATGGCACTGAACAGAACAGAATGGTGAAACAGGATTCATGTAGCCGACCCCATATGACAGAAGTAGGAAAGCTAAAAATGTAGTTACATGCTTACTTCCACTGCTAAGAAGGTCCGGCGTTATTTCATGTCCCGCTTGTGCCAGAGCAACTAGCTGTTGATCATGAAAGGTCAGTGAAAACCAACTTCTTATCAAATTAACAAGATAGAAGAAGATATTGAAGTATAACCTGCATTGCAGCAATGAATTCTGTGAACCCAAGAAATCCCTGTCGTTTGGAATCCGCAATGGCCCACACCTTTAAAACCAAAAGGTTGTCAACTTAATACGAACTAGTTATAAATGGAAAACGGCTAACACAATAGAAATGACACCCTAGACTTGTCATTGAATTAGCCAGCAACCAACTACCAATATGCTAGTCACCCAGATCCCATAATGCATGCAAACGAAATTTAGCAATATTACACAAACCAGAAAGAATTAGTATATTGATACATCAGACGAGAAAAGATAAGGCGTAGACTAGAAACCTGAACCCTGATTGTCTAAGAAATTATCGTTTCAAGAAAAGGAGAAGAAAAAAAGACCATCTTGCCACATAGTCTCCCATTCGTATAGGAGGAGAAAATGGATTCAGATGGCATAGAGGTCATCAAATCCGCAGCTCAAATGCCCGTGTAATCCATTCATAAATACATAAAATAATTGATGAAAGCTGCAGAAAACAGAGTTAATATAACAATGTTATTGAACTGTGGATACAATTCCTGCATCAATGCAGTGATTTCTTATTTAAGATTTACTCAAGTCGCTACTGATTTATCAATTCAATAAAAACCAGAAAATCCATGATCATGTAAACTACCACTCCATGAAACCATGGAATCACACAGTACAGAGATATTTAAGTGTCGAATCCACAGAACAAAGAGAGGATACATATGACAAAAATGAACCGCCATACGATGAATGCGAAGAAAACCCCCAAGTAAGTAAAAAAGGAAGAAAGGGAAAAGTTAAAAGTGAAGAAACCTGCTTGAGTTCTGGTCGAGATAAATTGGACATGGCGAAGAACTTGGTTGCATCGTTTCCCGTAATGCGGCCATCGCCATCTGAAGAGTACAAACAATAGACGAATTTGGTAAATAAACAGAGACGAGTTTGTTACATGGAAGCCAAAGAAAAACCAGGAAGAAGTGTAGGACAAGCCTGAGTCGGCGTAGTTAAACCACTCCTGGTAGATCTTTTGATGCTCCTTTGAACACGGACCGATCGGACCTGTAACGATCTCCATCAACCTAAGCGGTTTTCTGTCAGATTTGAAATTTCGACGGTTTTCCTTTTTTTTCTTTGGTATTCTATATTATCCTAATTTTTAGTGAGAGCGAGCCAGCGAGGGAAGAGGACTAGAGGAGAGAGACTAGAGTCTTTGGTATTTTATTTTTCAGATCTTTCCGATTAAATTCAAATCTCTCTCTCTAGACTCTAGAGAAACGAAATCAGGTTTTCTAACAGTTTTCTCGCATTTGAACGGAGTATATATATATATAATATTTTTTTTCTTCTCGGGTTGAGAGACCTGAGATGACTCCCACAGTCCACTTAAATTACTGAGTTACCCTTATCACCACGTTGAATAAATTATAAGTTGCACAACATACTCACCAGAAGTAGGGAGTGAATCATCGACAGCCGTCTGATGCTTTAGATATTGTATGGGATAAATGGTTTGAACTTGAAAACGATTAGGTCGCAGCTCTACAGAGTTTCCAGTGGAGATTTGTTGTCTGAGAGGAATAGATAGACGGTTACAGATCCAACTGGAATATGTACTATAAAGGTGGTGTGTACAAGATAGCATGATGGGATCATTTCCTTTTGATTTGCCTTTGATTGAAAGTGTGGTGTTCTATTTTAGCGAAAAACGGTTACATTCTGCTTTCGCACTTTTTTTTCTTTTTTGTCTACTGTTGATGAATTTTTAATTGGTAGAATGACTGATCAGTACAGGTCAGAATTTTTATCAGACGACAGATGATAGATGGAGTGAGATGAGCTGTCAATGGCGTGGATCCCACCTATGCATGTCCTCGTCGTTCAAAATTCAAAAATTAAATTTTCAAAGTTGTGTTTGTATTGAGGGCAGAAACGGAATTTTATTACGTTTTTAACCACGAGAGTCGAGACTTGCTGGTTTCCTTTCAGGCTTTCAAGTTTCATCCAATGCTAGTATGCTAGTATGCTACATGCCCAGTGCCCACATTCCTATTGGAATTCACCCTCGTTAACGTAAATATACACGATTTCATTCGTTGCTTGGTTGCGACAGTAATCCCTAGGGGCAAGCAAAAACTCTGTTCACACTTAAGCATGGAATCCAGCCGCAAATTGGGACGTGTACGCAAATTTGGTTTCGATGCGATCTAAATCAAGAATCAAAATTGGTTTCGGTTTTCTTTGCGTTTGAAAAGAAGGTGTAATTATTATCAATATAAAACTATATTTTGATTCAGTTTTGTATGTGTTTAGACGGTGTGTAGTTAATGTAAAACGTCATCGCTACATTGATTCCAATACAACCTCAGGCTTCATTTGGAAAGAGTACAAATATAAATATTTAGAGCGCAAAATATTGTATTGTATATTATTTATATGTATTTGTACTCAAAAACTTGGGCAGTGTTTTTGAAGTTTTTTGTACACAATGGAAGTCTATCTTTTTCTAAAGGAAGTTTATATTTTTTCTCCTTCTTTTTTAATTTTTGATTTTTTTATTTCATGCCATTTTTTAAACAACTAATTAAAGACTTTTCTTTTCCTATAAATCTTCTTAAAATCTCTCTCTCTCTTACACACACGTCCTTAATTAAATAATTTCCTTTCCTAAATTTTTTTCTAAGGCTACGATTGTTTTCGGTATAAATGTGAATCGACATAAAACTCCATTGTCGGTTCGCATTTGCGTGTATTTGTTTTTTAGTGTAAATACAAACCGGTGTAAAACTTCATAACTGGTCCGTATTTTTTAAGTGTTTGTTTTCAATGTAAGGTTTACATCCAAAACCTTCATATCAATTAACTTTTCCATTGATTTTATCGATGTATATTTACATCAATTCTCACATCAAAAAAGCTCCAACAATCCATTAAAATTTTAAACCTATCAATTGAGTTTTACATCGATGAAATTTCCACTGTAAACAAATGCAATTTAAACTATCTCCACCTACAACTTCGTTCCAAAACATCTCCTAATCTATCTCACTTTCACAGGCCCAATAATTGTAATCTAATGCCTATTTCCCACCCCTTATCTCTCTCATTCTCTATCTATTTCTATCTCTATATCTTTCTACCTTTTAAATTCCTTTCTACCATTTAATTTTTTTCATCAATGTATTAAAATATTAATGTTTAAATTAAAACTTTTTTGAAAATAGTTTAAGTTAAAACTTAAAGGACTTTTTGCAAAATAAATGACAAACTTTGATAAATTTGCAAATTCAATTAAGCTTAGAAAAATATGACCAAATCAATGAACGGGACAAAATTTAAAAATTTTATGGCAAATTTGCCCTTAATAAAAAATCAAAAAGAAAGATCGACATGACGGTGCCCACCTTTACGTTTCCTGATCAAAACCCCTTTTCTTACTCTTTCTTTGTGTTTGATAAACAACTATTCAAATGGATTGCAGAAAAAAAAAAAGAAAATCAATATAGCTCAAGGTAGATCTAATGAGTCCAGCTTCTATCAAGTATCAAGGTAGGTTCTATACTCGCACCATTCGCGTAGCATGAGGACGTGCCACGCGTCCTTCGACTCGTGTGGCTGCTTAAAGCGTGTATTTAGAGTAAAGGCCGTTGCCCATCAAGGCATCAAATTCAAACTCCATACGAAAATCTATAATATTTCGTTCCATTCTCCACTTCCCGCTCCTCTCTTGCCAAACCGATTCTCTCTCTCCCTCCCTCTCCAATCGGTAGCAACCACCAACCATCATCGGCGACTGGAGGAAAGAGCCAACCCTGCTAGAAGCCGGACTCCATGGACAACATCATTTCGAGTGATCTGGTTTGGATTTGGGTCGCTACTAAGCGTGTTCGTGTTTCATTGGATTTACTACGATAATGGTCGCAATTGATGCGAGCTCAACAGTAAATATCTGAACAATCGATTCAGAAACAATTAAGGCCATACAAAACATCAACTGGACAAGGTTGCAGATGTTTCCATTTGATCGAACTTTCAGACAAAAGGAGGAAAATTAAAGAAGACAAAAAAACAGATAGAAACAAAGTGAGAAGAAAAATATATTCAGATGATTTATACATGGCAAAAGTAGACTTAATTTAGCAACTGTTGAGAGGAGGAAAAAGGTGAAACAGGACAAAGAAACAAATATGCAACCCCAGTTCTCGTAAGCTCCTAGTTTAATACGTTTTTCTCTTAGACTATGTTTGGTTTGAAGGAAAAGGTAAGAAAAGGTGAGGAAACCTATACGAGGTTTATAAGGTTTTTCCACCTTTCCCTTCCTTTCCCTACTTTTTCCTTCAAACCAAACACAGCCTTAGGGAAAAAGTAGTAGACCCACCAAATCTAATGTACCCATTTTGAACCAATCCAAAATAAGACTTTGAAATAGAACAAGAAAAATCAAAATTTACACAGAACCCACAACTCTCAGCAATGGGGGAGGGGGACCCAAGTGAGAAGTGTGTGTATGTGATGATGCAAGAGAGGAAGAGCTAGAGACCAGTACTGGCGACAATGGAGATGTCCATGTCTCTATAACAAATTAACGATCAACAAATATGTCTACAATATCCTTGAATGCCTTGTGATCGAGTAACAATGTCATTATATCTTGAAACATGATTCCTAAAACACAAAGCTACACTAAAAAAGATCAAACAGAGAGAGAGAGAAAAAAAAAACACTCAAAATAGTGTTGTTCAATTAAAACTCCACGAATAATAATAGAACAAGGAAATACAACAAAAGCCAGCTAAAGACCTGGTTTGGGGAAGTAAGGCACGACTTGGATCGCTTCAAAGATAGCCTACAGCCTTGGGTCTCCCCGTAGTTTGTTCTTCCTGCAACCGGTAATGGTTGTTGGTCATCGTCGATTAAAGAGGGAGAGGGAGGGAGGGAGAGAGAGAGAGGAATCAGTTTGGCGAAAGAGGGGCTAGAAGTGGAACGAAATATTATAGGTTTTTCGTATGGAGTTCAAATAGAGTCTAACAGCATTGATGGGCAATGGTGTTTACTTAAGCCACACGCTTTAAGCAACCGCACGAGGCGAATGACACATGGCACATCCTTCTGTTGCGCGAATGGTGCGAGTAGAGACTACCCTAATAGAAGTCGGACTTGGAAAACTTTCCAAAGCAAAGACAAAATTAAAAAGAAAAATTCTCGATTAATAACTTGTACTTTGGGCCTAGTGCCACTTTGGTCCCCGAACTTTAAAATGTGACAACTCAATACCTGAAATTTCAAAACTGTCGATCCAATACCTACCATTAAGTGGTATTTGAAAAAACCACAAATGCCCTTTGAGTGTCATCTAATTTTCTTTATCAACCATTCAAATGTTGACAAAAACTTAACAATCCCAAATCTATACTTCTTATATTCAAGAAAGTTGGGGTTACGTCTCATTGGACATTTTGGACCCCAACTTTCTTGAATAAAAGAGACAAAGATTTAGAACTCTTAATTTTTTGTCAACATTTGGATGGTCGATAAAGAAAATTAAATGATACTCAAAGGGCATTTGTATCTTTTTCAAATGCCATTTAACAATTAGTGTTGTCACACTCGAAAGGGCATTTCTGATCATTGGGGATTTACAAAACAAAGACTCGTCGAGAAGGCATTGACAATGATATTGCAGTGCTATCACAAGTTCAAATATTATAAACATTGCACTTTGTTGCAATTGTTCCAAATCTTTGCTCCAAAAATATGTTTCTTTAATATATTTCCAACACTGAATAAAATCCTGGTTCGGGGTTCTCCAACTTTTTTCACCACTTGAATTGGGGGAACCAACCACCAAAACTGCGTAGCAAGAATTGGGAGAATCAACAGTCATAATCCGTTTCAATTTGAGGGTAGAAGACGTGGCTCATTTATGTTTTGTTTTGTTTTCAGTGGGGTTTGGACCTGGCCCTGAGTTAGTTGAAAAAATGGAAAGATGGAAAATAGGTGGAGGAGGAGCTGTTGAATCCGGGAATACTAAAAGGTTGCTAATCCTACTAGGTTCAGGTACAAACAATGGAGGAGCATACCTAGATGGTTGTTGCTGCGGTTCAAGGAGGAGCCTTGGTATCTTCGTAGAAGGGGGATCTTCTAACTCATGCAGATTTCTCCATTGCTTCAAATGGTAGTCCATGGAGGAGAGAGAAAGAGATAGAGAGAGAGAGAGAGAGAGATGGGTTTTGTTTCACTTGGCTTGGGTGGGTTTAACAATGTCTAGGATTGATCATTGGGTAAGATGGG